GTGGGAACTATTTTCCAAAGGGCAATTTTAGGTATTCAGCATCAGTACCAGGCATTCAGGTTGGGTGATTCAGAGAAAAAAAGTAACTTTCCAAAGACAACTGAGCATTTGGGCATCATTCAGCTCTGAAATATACCATCAATCCTTAATATATTACCATGGAAAATGAATACTTAGTCGATGACATTTTCAAAATCTCCTCCTACAATCTGTGCTGATTTCACTGTTCTGCTCATTATGTTGGGTGGAAAATCTTCTAACACCTTCCTTTGGAAGTGCTGATTCAACAAAGCTGGAACCAGCTGATGTCTAATTTTTGAGGCAGTGCTGACTGACTTCTTGCTAGTCACCAACCTACCCATGCTAGAAACCACTCCCTAAAAGTGGAGCTCCTTTGCTTCCCACGTTCCCAACAACTTGTTTTCTGATGTGTTCAGGGAGACATGTCTTCCAGTGCTTCCCACCCTGCCAAACAGGAGTGGCAGCAGGAGGCACTGACCTGCACTGTCTCGGAGTTCTCAGGCACACCATTTGGCATGTTAGCTGTGTGGGCAGTAGCAGCCTGCACAGAGACAAACTCTGAATCCCAGGACAAAGGAAGTTGCCTTGTGAGAGGTATTAATGCCTGAATAGCTGCAGATATTGAAAACCTGGAAAATGCCAGTTTTGCGGCAGCTTTTTTGTGCGTGAGCTGCTGAGGGACTTGACTTGCTGCTGCTCCTCTGCTTCCCTGCTACCTGGCTCTGTAATGGGATGCCAGTGTCTGATAAAAGGTAGAGAGGAAGTGTCTGGACAATCTGCTCTTAAAACCAAACCTCATGTTTATGCCTTACAAATGGTCTGTATTAAAAGCTATAAGCAAATCAGACATTACAGATCTGATTATAGGCATGCCTTGTGAATCAGTTTTATGAGACTAGAGCAATAAACTGCTATCACAGGTGAAAATTTTGTGAGCAGTGAGAAATTCACTTCAGCCAGAAAAAAACTTTTTACGGATGACAATGCAATTACAAGCACAAGGAAGTCCTTGGAGCAGGTATTGACTATGTCTGCAAGAGGCCGCAGGCAACATGAAAAGTGTAAGTGATCTCAGCCATAGCTGTGTCTGCACTATGGCTAGATGAAAAGTTTTGAGTAAAAGCAGGGTAAGAAGTATGACAATCTTGGACAAAAAGAAAAGAGTATGAGAAGCCTGCTGTGCCTATTTCTAAAAGCCTGTGTGCAGGACACAGGGTGCTATTATTACGTAGATATCTCAGCTGCAGGTGTTATTTTAAAGGTTATTATAACTAGACATTAGGCATCCAGGGTAAAGCTCTTCCGACAAGTATTAATTAACTGGGTTTCAGAGCTGGTGACTGAGTGCCCTTTTAGCAGTAAATTCCAAACAACTCAATTGTCAATGTCTAAGAAATTCCAAAGCAAGCCCTAGGTGTCAGCTTGTTTTAGGTGCCCAGCTCCTGGGTTAATTGGTTCCTGGTGCTCTCAGGCAGCCCAGGTAGCCTCACAGCTTAGGGCGCAAGCCATTGTCATTCACTGCAGGTATTTCCAGCAAGCTAAAAAGTTCCACATCAGTTGTTAAAATATCTGGAAACCCTATGGAAGACAATGTGTGAGCTGACCTTTTATTCAGATTTGCAATTAAAAAAAAAAAAAAAAGAGCCTAACTAAAACGCAGACTCCTTAACAATAAAGGTCTGCATTTTCCATTTAGCTCTATTGTCCATCACTTCAGAAATTACATCAACACTCAAAGCAATATCACTCTACATCTTTGTGATAAATTCTTTAAAAAGGGAGCTTATATGGAAATCTAGAGTGTATATATTCACAGAGCACATTTTACAATTTTACCAAGTTTTAGTGCTCCCTTGTTGCAAAACAAGACAGTGATTAGATAAGGGACATCATCTACAGCTTCTGCCCCCAAATGGATACATCTTGAATAAAAAGCATCATCCATTATTTGTCAGTGTAACTCAAGACCCCAAGGCCAGCCACTCCTGGGGAGGCTAATCCAAAACCAAAGAGAGGACATAACACTAATATTAGCTTTTGCTTGATTTTTCACAAAGCTTTTTGTAGTGTGTAGTGAGCAGAAAACCACAGAGCTTTCACAAACTCAGGAAACAGAAGGAGACACAATTTGAGAAGCAGAGTGGGACATGATGAGACCTGAGCTTAGAAACCATTCCACAGTCTGCAGAGGCAAAACTGTCCAGCAAATATAAGTTACTTGCAAAGTCTGTGTTTAACATCACTTAAAAGAACCATTCCCAGTGACAAGCATGTACTCTTTCTTTCTCTCTCCATATATGCATACATATAAATAAAACCCTTGCAGACTCTCCTCAGCAGTGATTTGTTTAGAAACCTACTGAAGGGGCTGTATAAATTTGATTTATATAGCCTGTAATAACAAAATAGTATTAAACCTAAGTACACTACTTGCAAATTTCCTACAATTCATTAATAAAAAAATATTATTTTCAACATGACATTCAGTAGGGTAACTGCTGTTGGTTGCATATGCATGCTTTGTATCTTTTCACTGTTTCTGACCTATAGTTCACAAGCAAACTTGGGAGCAAATATCCTATTCCTCAGGAACACACTTAGCACCGGCAACCATCTGTGCTTTCTTTCTCCCCTGCCTCCTAGGTGATTGCATTAATACAGAAAATACATCTTGATCCTCTTTTCTGACAATTCCAGTAGTTACCTCTGGCTTCTTCCGACTTTCTAGTTGCTTCTGAGTCACAATTGGATCACATTGTATTGCTTTTATATTTAATAACTTGTCATGAATGTAATATCCAACATGTTTTCGAAGGAGTTTGGAAACTCTTCTAGCCTCTTATCTTTTAGTTAGAATCAAAAATAAAAAAATTTCCAGGAAACATTTCTGAAAGTTACAACATCAGATTCTGCTCTCATAGACAAAAGCAAGGTATTTCAAATTTTATCACTGGGGAAGAGGAGACAATTACACTGCAAGGTTGCTTACAACTAATGGATAAATCATCAAACCACATCTTCAATGGATTGAGGAGGCTAAAGTATGGTTGAATGGACACAGCTGGCTTTTCCAGAAGTTTGATGCTCTTCTCAATCAACCAGACACCTTAATTATGTATTGGCTACGTGTCTAATGAAGTGCCATGGTGTTACATACATAAATACATATATAAAATACTTTTCTGTCAAAAATCAGTCTTCAGGATATTGTAATACAGCTGTATTGTAACACAGGGTGAATTCATAGTCTGACACTTACAGAAACACAGAAAACCCCTTGTACTGGCCCTAAATTTGGAAGTGGTTCCTGCACTCAGCTAATGACTGAATTTGGCTTATGAATTGAATTACTGCTTTAGAGCTTGGTGTTGAAAACAGCTAAATAAAACAAGCCATTAGCAATATAAAAGCTCCAAATGTGCTTGTTTGTATGCATTTATTTGTGAAGATTTAAAAGAATTCAAAAGAATTATTAATTGATCTTCTGCCCTGTCAAGACTTGTTTATTCCAATTAGCTTCTTTTTCCCATTATGTCTCATTCAAAGACATTATCAAGTGATCAAGTAACTATGCTCAGATATTCACTTCATCATATGAATGTTGCTCACACAGTACAGCTGAGAGCAGGATTTTGTCCAGTAGTTTTAAGACTGAAGGAGGAAAGCCTCTTCCCATGTGTTCAGCTTTTTTTTTTTACCAAATGTAGATTTCATCTGGATACTACATAATACCTGGTGGTGAGCATTATTGTGCAGCAAACATCGCAAGGGGTAGCGTGGTTAGGGGAAACAAGCTGGGTGCAGGGTGTGAAGGAATTGCCCTCATGTATACTTGTTTAAGTTTCGCTCACAGGACAAATCCAGGCTAATGTTCATGATCAAGCCAAATAAATGATTTTGTTGTGTCTTCTGAGCACTGAGGACAAGCTTTTCTGGGATCAGCAAGGGCTGAATTTGGCTATCTTTGTGGGGTTTGAGGTTTCGGTTTAGGGGTTTTTTTATGAAATCATACAGTTAATAGATAGTTTTTTATAAACATTGAAGCTACAAAAAGAAATTAACATGATTTTAGTTCAGAGAAAAACTTCTAACCTAAACCAAAATGTTTTTCTTACTTCATTATACCACTAAAAGGAAATTAGACCTTAACACTGGCTTACTTGCAACACTTTAAAGTCTATTGTTATAATAAAGAAGAAACAATAATGGAGCAAGGAGCCTCTGTTAATTTGACAGTTTGGTTAATATAGGCAGCATGGTTTCAATATAATGATCCAAGAGATATTTTTCAATATAGGAAATCTGCCAATTTTCAGTAACAAGGTGAATTAAGTGTCTTCATCTTTCATAAACTTTCTAAAAACCATTTAATCATAAGCTAAATGTGTTATGTTAATTTTGTTTCTGTATAAAAATCTTGAAAGGAAATTCTGCTTCACCAGCTAAAAGTGGTATCAAGTTCACAGTTTGTTATGCTTTAATTGCCCATTCTGAGCCACTTCTTTACTCTTGGTTTTCTACTAACACCCACAGTTTACAGAATATAATTGTTTGAATTACAGCAGTGTAAAACAGCCACTAACTCCATTTATCATGAGAGAACAGTAGATAGAGCGAGCACAAATGCAATCAAAACTTCCATCAAGAGGGAAAACATTTGGACAGTAGAATAAAAAGAGAATAAAAACTTACCAGAAAGCCTGTTTCTAAGAAAAACGTAGGTCTTATCCTCACAAAAATCATGAAGAAAAGCAGCCCTCAAATCTCATACTCTGTCAAAACCAGACCTCAGTGATGCCAGGCACTCAAAACACTTTGAATAGATACTTTGGTATGGCTAGCTACTGTTCTAAAACACAATTTATGTCTATTTTTGCATAGAGGTTATGATATGCTTGAATCTTTAAAATATGTGACTTTATTCTCCCTTATATCTGCATCCAACACTTAATCTTGTTTCTCATTTTGACATGCTACAGATTTAAGCTGGTGGCTTTTGCTTGGTTCCTGCTTGCTTGATACAACCAGGAAAAAAGTACTCATGAGAGAGTGCTCTGCATAAGGAAAGAGATTAGTGGTGACAAAAAATTATCTGGAGCTGCAATAGTGAAGTAAATTTCAGTTTTGTAGAAAACAGCCAAATAATTCCCTTATTGTTCATCGTCTTGCTAGCTTAAAAAGGATTTCAGACACGATAAGGAGCTAAACTGTTCTAATTAGTAAGTATATTTTAGCACTTACTAAAACTATAACACAAAGCATGGCCTGCTTCTCAACATAACCTGGTTTGCTTCTTAACAGAGCCTCTGAAGACAGATTGGCCAACCTGATGTGATGTGCCTTAGAAAAACCACTTCAAGGGGTACAATTTCCACAGCCACCCTTGTGTCATGTTAATCTTCTCTACACTGTATTATGAGATAATGGACTAGTCTTCTTTTAGAGGGATATAAAATTAGCACACAGATAACAAAAGCCAAACACGTTATGACTGATACATTACAAAATTCGTCTTGAACCGTACTGTTTTTGTTAAAAGCTATTTTGATTTGTTTTCACCTTCAACTTATGGTTCCTTTTTTTGAGTGCCACTTGTCTTAGATTAGTCTTTAAAAACAGAAGATTTTGGCCTTGTCTATTTCTCTTCCTAGACAATTTTCTATATCTGTGGAAAACTTCAATATATCCTACAGAATAAGCTGGCATTGCAGGAGCTAAATCAAAAAGTATTTGTGTACCTCCCCTTATTAACTACCAAATGTCTTTACTTTCTCTCAAGTAATAACTTCAGCCCAAAATATCTTGTGGCTTAAATAAGGAGAGAATGTTGCAGTGATATTTCAATTTTAAACTCATGCCCAAATATCTGATTTGGAAATAGAAATGTGAATCTAGACTAGACATTTAATAATAAAACTAAACCTTTTTAATCTTAAAGCTGGGCTAAAAAAATCCAATGCAAAAATGCTTTGATGAAATAAACTCAGAAAAATAAGAAACCACCCTGTGGGTCTTTGCAACCATGCTAGATGTCTTTTCATAAGATTCATGGAAGCAGCAGTTAGAAATTTCAAGAGAGAAAAACAAAGTAAAATTTTCTACGTATGTGAAAATTCTTGTGGGAATAAACATTCACAGCTCGTTCACAGACAAAAATAAGGGAAAACACGTCTATACAGATATATTCAAACTTCATTTATGCAAACAGGCATTTAGAGACAGTTCAAGACCATAAAAAAACTTTTCAAACTTGACATCATATTAAAGAATTTACTCACTCTCCGTTGTTTCCTCTTCTGTAGCTCCACCGAAGACAATTTCAAAGAGGTTGTTGGTTCAAGGACAGCAAGAGTTGTTAGAATACATGTTCTCTTGGTAAACATTGTTTTCCACTACTCTAAATCTGCTGTTTTGACCAACAGTGCTTAATCCAGCAATGCTTCCTATCAGTAGAAGACAAACCTTAATTTTTGTTAAACATTCTTTTTCTATCTCCTAGATGCTGTACCACATGATCATATAGCTCAAAAAAAAAAAAAAAATGCATTCTGTATATTCAGGATAAAAGGTTTATGCTTAAATGATTCCTTATATTCAATCTAGCGCACAAATGCCCCTGAAGTCATAGGACATGAAACCTTTAACAGCTTTGTCTGTAAAGGCTGATACCAGGTCCTTGAAATAGCACAGCCTCCAATAGTTGGAGCAGAAGTTTCAGTCCTGTAAAACTCAGTCATCACATTAGTTAAACAGACACAGGCAAGCAGGAAAAAACGTGCTTCACCTCCACCATTTTATGACATTAGCTTTTAGAGAGAAATGCAAATAGGTAATTTTAAAAATGTGCAGTGCTTTTACCTTCAGCATTTTCATTGTATACCTACTTCAGTGAATGCTGGCTTCCAGTTCCTTCTTTAATGGAGCCATCTTGCTTTTAAAAAAGGTATTATATGCTCATCTTAGACTGGGTATAATCAGTCATTACTGTAGAAGGATGGCAAGGGTTGATGAGGGGATGATAATGATTCTTTATTTCTACACAGCTTCCCACATTACCTGTAGGAAAGGCTGTAGGCTATCATGAATCAGAAGTTACTGGTCAGATTGGAGCTTCCGCAACAGTTGCCAGCAATTATCTTTAGAGAGGTTCAGCTTTGCAGGTGATAACATATTTATCCACTGTTATCCATAACACACCATGAGTTTTTTAGATTATAATTTAACAATAATAAAATAGCAGTAGATAAAAATGTGCAACATTGAAAAGAAAAACAAAAAAACAAACCCAAACAAAAAAAAATCCCAGCTGTTGAATGTGATTTTATATCTTAAAATCCTCATCTATCAGAAAGAATTTTTTTTCAAAGGAATGAATATCAGATCAGTTTCATAACAATAAATTAGTATTTCTGTGTATGTAACATCTGGCTCAAAATTATGTATTTACAGCTATAAGTAATATTACACGTTTGGGGAATGGATGGAATGATTATGGTTATCTAAAAGCACACTAACTCATCTCTAAGAAATGTGGTTTTTATGGATATTTCAATTCTGAAGCAAAAAGTAATTTCTTGTGAGTGAAGGCAAGAAAGTGAACACAACGAGGAAAAAATCAATAATCAGCAGAATTATTTAAAGTAACTGAGTAAGTAGCTTTCATTTTAAAAAGGGTATTTTTAAAAGTGTAATTCAATTTGAAGGTTTTAACTCAACAGAAGAAGGTCAAGGATTTTACTATGATTACTTACAGTGTGTTGCTATAAAGTCAATAATTTTTAGTACTGACACCTATTATATTGGAGCAAAGAAAAAGCTACCTTTCTGCATCTGTAGTTTTTACTATAATCTGTACTGTGTCTTTTCAAAAAGGTTTAGCTATTAAATATATATATATTTATAAAGAAATCTCAGAAATCTGGCACCATTACAGAATGTTTTACAGTGTTTAAGAGAATATCAGTACTTTCTTTATAAACCCTTGCCTTCAAAGGTTTATGACTGAGCCATAAAAATCAGTTCATTGTATAACTTCATTTATTAACTCTCATTTTAGGAGTCTGTTCCCCCACTCCGCCCTTTCCCCCTCACTAAATAGGCAGAATTTCTTTCTATGCCCATTACAGATTTATTTTTAGAAATACTCTTTTATGAGTGATTTTATTCCAGTTACTTTCCGTCACAATTGCTCAGCATGGCTTTTTAAATACAATGTAACAAACTCTTTAATATAAATGTAAGACGATCTCTCAGTTTTCAAAGTCACGGATTATAAATAACTGAGAAACTGTAACACATTTAATCCCAAAGTCCTGAGCTTCTATTTTAGCTCACCTCCTTCATTATTGAGTAAAAAACTCCCTTAGTTGTTGCTTCTCTTTTTTGTTGCCACAAGACTCAGCAGCATTCCCACCTGATTCTCTGTCAGTCTGCTAACATATGTAGAAAGTTGTGAAACAGAACCACATTTTCATGAAATATTTGCAGAAAAAACACGTCTTGGTGCTTTCCTTGTTTCTACGTCTCTGGGATACAGGCACAGGCCATAAAACTAGTCTCACATATTCTTAGAAGACTGGTGTTCCAGTAGCACCAGCATGTCTACTAACAGTGATCCACTCTATATTGTGAAGAAATTTCATTACATTTCATACGGAATTAGAAATTCTTAACATTTCAAGTCCTCAGCAACAAGTTGCAAGCCATCAAAATGGATGGCTGCCAGCCATAGCTACAATAATCTCCCACATGGATGTTCCTGCACACGTAGGGTCCCAGTCCTACACTATCACCAAGCATCCAGGTTTGCATTATCCAGAACTCCCCAGCAGCCCTCTTTGACTATTCTACCACAATCAGCACTGAAAACAAGAGACTAATCTGATTGTTACTGGCTCCATTGGGAACAGGCCTATGAACTAGCAATGGTAAACTGACTACAGCACCCACTGTTTGCAGAAGATCTGCAAAGGATTTACTTGTCAGCAGCAATCCATTCTAATCTTCTGAAGGAAGCAAACTAAAGTGAATAGCTCTGAAATACAGAAAAAGACGCCTGAGGTGCAGTTAGCGAGGCAGGAGTGGAAGGGTGAGAGGAGAAAAATGTTGTTATATAAATATATCTCATCAAAGACAGCTGCTCATCTGGTAATCGTTGTACACCTTGTGCGGACTCTAGATGAGTCAAGCTTTCTCATATCCGCTGCTGGGTGAGAGCAGCAGAGAGACCCTGTGGGTCTAAAGCAGGACAAGGATGAGCTTTATGGTGCATTTATTCCCATTGCTGCGTTCCTGAATGGTCTAACAGAGCAGTGGTTCTTCCTCAAGGAGTATGTTGATATAAAGTAATAAAAAGGATTGTACTGATTTGGCTGTCAAACGCAAAGATAAACTCACTGACATTCCCAGAATAAGGCAGAGTTCTGCTGTCCTTTTATGTCTGAAGAGAAAACACATCACATTTCCACACAGTGAAACTTCCTGTTTTCATTCTTTCTTATATATCTATCTATTTACTTGCTCTCATCCATTGTGTTGCCTCAGCTTTTTCCCCTGAGACATGATGCTTTCAGCTGGCCTGTTGAACCTAGTTCTTTTATCAAGAAAGTGATGACTGAAAGCAACTAAAATTAGGCTGTCTATTTAGTTGTTTATGATATATTGATACTCTCCTCGATTACATTCTCTTAGGAAAGAGATATTCATATGTCTATATATGTCTCAATCTTTCTAAATAGCTATCTGGGGAACTGACATAAAATCAAATAGGCTGATTGCTCTTAGTTTCTCTATCATTTTCTCTTCATGTAGTCCGTGCAGAGTTTAAACTCCTCTGGGAAGGTATCAGATTTGTATATAGTATTTCAAATAGCATACATATTTCTCAATGAAAAAAAACAAACCAAACAAACAAACAACAAACAACCAAGATATTCTAGACTCCCATTGCTTTTTACTTAGTGTGATCTAGAGAATCTGCAAAGCTTGGATTGTTTTGGCACAAGTAAGTTACCACTAAGTTTCAGAGTAACCTTCAGTAACTCACCTCACCCCCTTTTACCTTAATTATGAGATGATGATAGAAATATTCCATAAACCACAAAGGACTTTAAGTCTTACATGTGATCATTATTATCTAAATAACTTAAAATTCAGTCATTCCCCTCACAGAATACATGCATCCCAAAACAAACAAAGCAAAACAAACCTCAATTAACCAACCAAAAAAACCTAACTTCCTATGGATTTTTCAAGGCCTTTTCCCAGTAAGTAAAAGATACCAATCCATCAGTCTTTATCATGTGGAACAAGGGGACACAGTTTCATTAACAAGACATCATCAAATGGCAGGGGAGGAATCTAAAGAAAGTTACTGTTTTCAGAAATCTTTGGATGAGGGCATGTATTTTCATTCAAATACTTAACAGGTAACAAGAGAGGGTTTACATTTGTTTATAGAGTAAGGATGCTTAGTATTCAATTGTATACCCCATTCTGCGACATTACTGAGCAAAACTGCTCAGCTATAGCTGCAAGGTTACATTCTTTCTAAGAGCACAAGAGACTTGAATCCAGGCCTTTCCACTAACTGATCTCTACAGTGATTATATCACAATTGGGGAAAAGGAAAGTAAGAATCGAAGCTGATGCTAAATTTTCATATCCACACACCGAACAATCAAATTTCAGCATGAAATGCAAAAAAACCCATTTTCTATTAATTTTCTTATAAAGTTTAAAGTTCAAAGGTAGTTTTACCTCCACTCCTTAGAAATGCTAACATTGGAATCCGCATTCCTGGAACATTTATTAATGGCAGCAACTTTTCTAAAAATGATGCTATCAGTACTCTAGAACTTGTTAATCATAAAGTCAAAATACACATCAGCTGGATGGAATACAACAGAGCTTACAAAACAACTGTTTAATTTTTGAAATATTTTCCTAATTGCAGGGAGTAGTAAAGCAACAAAGGAATCAAATTTCACTGCTAAAATTTTACTGCATTAATATCAATGGCATTTTTCTTTTAGCAAGTCAACAACCAAAAGAAGCTGGTTCTGTTCTGAGCCATCTGCTTTATTGTATTTAAAATTACAGATAATGACTATGTGAACTTGAACATTTAACATTTCTGCCTACTCTGAGGCAAAAATGCAATTTCACAGCCCAACTTTTCATTTATTGTTTGGCTTATGCACTTACGAAGCAGAGAACAGTTGCTCTGTAGCAGTTGCTCAGGTCCCCAGTCACTAAGTTAGTTAAGATTTTGGAGAATTACATAGAAGACTTTCAGGATTTCTTCAGCCTACACTGAATTACCAATAGCACCAAATGAAAGGAGCCACATATTAGATAATGTTGCCTCCTTTTCC